AAATCCCAACCTAATACCTAAACCTAACAACCCAGCTTAGCCAAAACCTAATTGGGGGGCAGAGCCCCCCAAACCCCCCTCCTAACTTCTTAGTCTGAGAACTGCCACACAGATATTAAGTAAGTGGCCATTCAGGGTCATCCCTAAATGGGCCGTGGGATTCAGGGTCCGGGTGCGGAAAATCAAAGGTCCATCAAGACACATCAGTACAAATCTAACCATCTTCGTTATCCATTGTCTTCTAGGCCTAATCATCGCCTAAGTTTCAAGGGCGGTTATTCCCGAGGCCACGATCAGTGAGTATTGAAGGAAATGCAGTGCAATTTTTTGACGTGCATGGTCTGGTTATATTTTTCTTTTCTTCTTCTTCTCTTGGACTGCCTCGTGCTTTACCCTGATCCTTTGGAGAAGAATGGAAGGAAGGGGGGTGGGGTGGGGGAGTTACGGATTGATGGATTGGATTATCTGCAGTTTGCATGACTCTTGTTCTTTCGTAACCGAACTGTCGAGTCTGAGGTATGCTTCTGGTCAGGAGATACTGTTGTAAGATCCGGACCTTGAACAATACAATTGTACTTCTCCCTTTTGACTCCTCGAACGATCTAGGGTTATGGCGCCGAGGACTCGTACGGCAACTATTTGTTCTGGCTTTATCCATAGAGTTTTCTTTAGTTAGAAAGTACTTCCGTTTGACGTTGAGGAGTCTGTCAGCAATTGCTTGTGAATGGCATGGAAGTCCCTTGATGCCTTCTCTTAATCTGGGCACTCCTGACTCATTGTCCAAAAGGAATAAGGAGCTTGTACACGGACTAAGCGCAACGCTTGAGCCTCGCGTTTTGACATTCAATATCTTCCTTTTTCAACCGTGAAACATAAGAAACTCCCAGTTCATCCTCTGTCTTTGACTCATTCCCCTCTTTTTACTGCTAAGAACTTTAGGCCAACAGGCGAATAACAATTTACTGGAAGGAAGAACTGGACAGGAAAGCGGGATCAGTGCACCAAACGGATATCGCGCTCATTCTATATTTAGAAGTTCACTTTTGGTGGCTCAAAAGCGTGGGAAAGGAAGTTGCTTCCTACTTCGTACCTAGTACTTACCGTTGATTTTTACGCTGTGGTACGTTGAACAGTGAAGAGTATAGCAGATACTTACAGGTTGTATATATGGCTAGAAATATTTATGTGGGGAGTAATTGCCGGATTCTGCTTTAGTTGGTAAGTAAAAGTTTGTCCTTATTTCATCTCCCCTCCAAGTAATCAAAGGAAATTATCAGGAGCTCAGTGGCAATACAATATAAAAGCGTGCAGGATGTCACCCCTCCCCATTCTCTCCACCTCTCTCTCTCTCTCTCTCTCCATCTCCTCACTCATTACACTCTGTCTCAGTGTTTCCTCATCATCCTGTAGAGTTGCATGTTATGAGACAGTGTGATGAGGGAAGAGATAGAGGGCTGGGAGCCCTCGACCTTCTTCTGTCAGAATCCGAAATATCTTCATTGGATTTGTCCTTGCCCTTGCCCTCGCCCTCTCATCCCGAACGCCCATCAACTCGTTTGGTGGTGTTATGTCCTCTATCATTCCTGGAGGAACAATTGTGAGGGATCCGCCACAGAACTGAACATCTACTGACTGTGCACGTGGCGTTATTATCGGTGTCGAACTGGTCGAGTCGACTTTATCCCGGTGATATGTGTTGTCTCCGATCATTAGCTCCGGTGTACTACAGTGAATGTTATACAGGAACGTAACCTCACTTATTGGTCCAGTTTCCAGCATCAGCATGCTCCAAACACATGGTAGCAATGAGTCGAAGAGGCCTCTTCGTTTTTATCAGCGTGAAGTCTACTCCACTGGCCGACGTATCTTCTATTGTCGATGCACGGTGTGGGGATGGCAACCTTGCTGTCCTGTTGCTCTCGTACTTTCCCAAATTCGCAGATCATCGAAAAGGCGATGCTGCGTGATAGCAGCTGCTTACGTGTTGCACCGATTGCTATTGTTGAGTGATA